GACCTTGAGATGAAATTTAAAGAAATGAAAGCCGATTTAAACCAAGAAGAGTTGTTGAAGATTGAACCCTTATATCGATGGTTTGAGCAGACAAAAAATTTGACGACCCATGATGAGAGGGTGGAAGCATTTGATAAGTTATATGTTTAGAAGAATTTATTTAAGTTCAAAATATAATTTATTCATAATCAAAACTTATCTGTTACAAACATTTGTAAGTTATAATAAAATGTTCAGTTCTAGTTCAGTTCCAGTTCAGTTCTAGTTCAGTTCTAGTTCAGTTCTATTTCAGTTCTAGTTCAGTTCTAGTTCAGTTCTAGTTCAGTTCTAGTTCAGTTCTAGTTCAGTTCTAGTTCAGTTCTAGTTCAGTTCTAGTTCAGTTCTAGTTCAGTTCTAGTTCAGTTCTAGTTCAGTTCTAGTTCAGTTCTAGTTCAGTTCTAGCTCAGTTCTAGTTCAGTTCTAGTTCAGTACTAGTTCAGTTCTAGTTCAGTTCTTGTTCAGTTCTAGTTCAGTTCTAGTTCAGTTCTAGTTCAGTTCTAAATCAGTTCTAGTTCAGTTCAGTTCTAGTTCAGTTTTACTTCAGTTCTAGTTCAGATCTAGTTCAGTTCCAGTTCAGTTCTAGTTCAGTTCTAGTTCAGTTCTAGTTCAGTTCTAGTTCAGTTTTAGTTCAGTTCTAGTTCAGTTCTAGTTCAGTTCTAGTTCAGTTCTAGTTCAGTTCTAGTTCTGTTCTAGTTCAGTTCTAGTTCAGTTCTACAGACTAGACTATAGACTAGACTATAGACTAGACTATAGACTAGACTATAGACTAGACTATAAACTAGACTATAGACTAGACTATAGTCTAGACTATAGACTGGACTTTATAGACTAGGCTATAGACTAGACTATGGACTAGACTATAGACTGGACTTTATAGACTAGACTATAGACTAGACTATGGACTAGACTATAGACTAGACTATAGACTAGACTATAGACTAGACTATAGACTAGACTATAGACTAGACTATAGACTAGACTATAGACTAGACTATAGACTAGACTATAGACTAGACTATAGACTAGACTATAGACTAGACTATAGACTAGACTATAGACTAGACTATAGACTAGACTATAGACTAGACTATAGATTAGACTATAGACTAGACTATAGAATAGACTATAGACTAGACTATAGACTAGACTATAGACTAGACTATAGACTAGACTATAGACTAGACTATAGACTAGACTATAGACTAGACTATAGACTAGACTATAGACTAGACTATAGACTAGACTATAAAATAGACTATAGACTAGACTATAGACTATAGACTAGACTATAGACTAGACTATAGACTAGACTATAGACTAGACTATAGACTAGACTATAGACTAGACTATAGACTAGACTATAGACTAGACTATAGACTAGACTATAGACTAGACTATAGACTAGACTATAGACTAGACCATAGACTAGACTATAGACTATACTATAGACTATACTATAGACTAGACTATAGACTAGACTATAGACTAGACTATAGACTAGACTATAGACTATACTATAGACTAGATTATAGATTAGACTAAAGACTAGACTAAAGACTAGACTAACGACTAGACTATAGACTAGACTATAGACTGGACTATTGACAAGATTATAGACTAGACTATAGACTAGACTATAGACTAGACCATAGACTAGACTATAGACTAGACTATAGACTAGACTATAGACTAGACTATAGACTATACTATAGACTAGATTAGACTAAAGACTAGACTAAAGACTAGACTAACGACTAGACTATAGACTAGACTATAGACTGGACTATTGACAAGATTATAGACTAAACTATAGACAAGATTATAGACTAGACTATAGACTCGACTATAGAATAGAATATAGACTATAGACTAGACTATAGACTAGACTATAGACTAGAATATAGACTAGAATATAGACTAGACTAAAGACTAGACTATAGACTAGACTATAGGCTAGACTATAGACTAGACTAGACTAGACTAGATTAGACTATGACTAGACTATAGATTAGACTATAGACTAGACTATAGACTAGACTATAGATTAGACTATAGCCTAGACTATATACTAGACTATAGACTAGACTATAGACTAGACTGTAGACTAGACTATAGACTAGACTATAGACTAGACTATAGACTAGACTATAGACTAGACTATAGACTAGACTAAAGACTAGACTAAAGACTAGACTAAAGACTAGACTATAGACAAGACTATAGACTAGACTATAGACTAGACTATAGACTAGACTATAGACTAGACTACAGACAAGACTATAGACTAGACTATTGACTAGACTATAGACTAGACTATAGACTAGACTATAGACTAGACTATAGACTAGACTATAGACTAGACTATAGACTAGACTATAGACTAGACTATAGACTAGACTATAGACTAGACTATAGACTAGACTATAGACTAGACTATAGACTAGACTATAGACTAAACTGTAGACTAGACTATAGACTAGACTAGACTATAGACTAGACTGTAGACTAGACTATAGACTAGACTATAGACTAGACTATAGACTAGACTATAGACTACACTATAGATTAGACTATAGACTAGACTATAGACTAGACTATAGACTAGACTATAGACTAGACTATAGACTAGACTATAGACTAGACTATAGACTAGACTATAGACTAGACTATAGACTAGACTATAGACTAGACTATAGACTAGACTATAGACTAGACTATAGACTAGACTATAGACTAGACTATAGACTGGACTATAGACTAGACTATAGACTAGACTATAGACTAGACTATAGACTAGACTACAGACTACACTATAGACTAGACTATAGACTAGACTATAGACTAGACTATAGACTAGACTATAGACTAGACTATAGACTAGACTATAGACTAGACTATAGACTAGACTATAGACTAGACTATAGACTAGACTATAGACTAGACTATAGACTGGACTATAGACTAGACTATAGACTAGACTATAGAATAGACTATAGACTAGACTATAGACTAGACTATAGAATAGACTATAGACTAGACTATAGACTAGACTATATACTAGACTATAGACTATAGACTAGACTATAGACTAGACTATAGACTAGACTATATACTAGACTATAGACTAGACTATAGACTAGACTATAGACTAGACTATAGACTAGACTATAGACTAGACTATAGACTAGACTATAGACTAGACTATATACTAGACTATAGACTAGACTATAGACTAGACTATAGACTAGACTATAGACTAGACTATAGACTAGACTATAGACTAGACTATAGACTAGACTATAGACTAGACTATAGACTGGACTATAGACTAGACTATAGACTAGACTATAGACTAGACTATAGACTAGACTACAGACTAGACTATAGACTAGACTATAGACTAGACCAAAGACTAGACTAAAGACTAGACTAAAGACTAGACTATAGACAAGACTATAGACTAGACTATAGACTAGACTATAGACTAAACTGTAGACTAGACTATAGACTAGACTGTAGACTAGACTATAGACTAGACTATAGACTAGACTATAGACTAGACTATAGACTACACTATAGATTAGACTATAGACTAGACTATAGACTAGACTATAGACTAGACTATAGACTAGACTATAGACTAGACTATAGACTAGACTATAGACTAGACTATAGACTAGACTATAGACTAGACTATAGACTAGACTATAGACTAGACTATAGACTAGACTATAGACTAGACTATAGACTAGACTATAGACTAGACTATAGACTAGACTATAGACTAGACTATAGACTAGACTATAGACTAGACTATAGACTGGACTATAGACTAGACTATAGACTAGACTATAGACTAGACTATAGACTAGACTACAGACTACACTATAGAATAGACTATAGACTAGACTATAGACTAGACTATAGACTAGACTATAGACTAGACTATAGACTAGACTATAGACTAGACTATAGACTAGACTATAGACTAGACTATAGACTAGACTATAGACTAGATAGACTAGACTATAGACTAGACTATAGACTAGACTATAGACTAGACTATAGACTAGACTATAGACTAGACTATAGACTAGACTATAGACTAGACTATAGACTAGACTATAGACTAGACTATAGACTAGACTATAGACTAGACTATAGACTAGACTATAGACTAGACTATAGACTAGACTATAGACTAGACTATAGACTAGACTATAGACTAGACTATAGACTAGACTATAGACTAGACTATAGACTAGACTATAGACTAGACTATAGACTAGACTATAGACTAGACTATAGACTAGACTATAGACTAGACTATAGACTAGACTATAGAATAGACTATAGACTAGACTATAGACTAGACTATAGACTAGACTATAGACTAGACTATAGACTAGACTATAGACTAGACTATAGACTAGACTATAGACTAGACTATAGACTAGACTATAGACTAGACTATAGACTAGACTATAGACTAGACTATAGACTAGACTATAGACTAGACTATAGACTAGACTATAGACTAGACTATAGACTAGACTATATACTAGACTATAGACTAGACTATATACTAGACTATAGACTAGACTATAGACTAGACTATAGACTAGACTAGACTATAGACTAGACTATAGACTAGACTATAGACTAGACTACAGACTCTTCTATAGACTAGGCTATAGACTAGACTATAGACTACACTATAGACTAGACTATAGACTACACTATAGACTAGACTATAGTCTAGTTTATACATTATATAGAGATTAAAAATACACAATTTTTTTATAGTTTATTATATTCTGATTTTATAGTAAATTATAAAATTTCATAAATTTTTCATATCTCTTAGTACTGTCATTTAAACTTTTCAATTCCTCAAAGCTTTTCAATAATGGCTGCTCTTTGGCCAAAGTCTGCTGAAGTATTGTATTTATATTCCTGAATTTTATTAGAAAGATCGTAGTCAATTAAATTATTAAATTTAATTTGATATTTTAAAAGAAATTTCGCATAGCCGTGAGCATTGAAAATGTCCACTATCAATTTATGATCCTTGTTAGGAATTTCCGTATTAGAGTAATATTTTTGTACTATTTTTGTTGAAATTGTTGAACTCCGTTTGCAAATCATCAATATCTTCGTTATTTTCAAAATTCATAGTAAATTCATTGATATCTATAGTTAAGTATTGCATAAGCGGAGTACTTATTTGTTTAAATTTCGGATCCTTTAATACGTTTCGTAGTATCTCATATGCGGTATTGCAATAGAACATATTTAGTTTATCAAGTTTAATGTCAATGTACTCATGTAGCTCCTCTTTTGGTGTCTGATCCTGCATAACAAAGGTATTGAATTCGTCATTGATACACACATTATCCCCACACATTTTTAGTTTTTTAAACCAGTTTATTAAATCATCTTCTTGCCTTAATTCTTGCGGCGATAGTTGGGCCTTTAATTCTTCGAATTTGGGTATAAATTTTGTTCAATAAATTTCACATATTCCATATCATAGTCCATATTTAGGCCATCATAACCCTTTTTTCGCATTAACTCCCAAATATATTGTAAATCCTTGCTGCGATTTAAGGGTACTAGCAATTTCTCATCAAAATGTATAGCCAAGGGATTTACTAAACCATAATGTTTAAACTTAGGGTAATCGTGTAAAAAATCGGTTAAATTCTTTTTAAACTCTTTTAAAATTGGTGTTGAGGCCTGCTGGACTCTCTCGTCCTTTAGCAATTGTTTGCAGAAATCTTTTGCTTTCAATAAAAAACTTTCCGATATAGAATTTAATCCTTCGCCATAGAAATCCAGCAACTTATCCTTTAATGTTGTCTTATTGGCCGCAGATGAGGTTTGCAATGATTTTATTAGGAATAACTGTTTAGTAGATGTACATAAATGTAATTGATATTGCAAACTTTTTTAAAATATTTTACAATTACCTGTATTACAAAACATATTATAACAGTGTATAACAGTTTCATTATTAGAATTTAATATGCACTTTCTTACTCGATGGCTAATGAAATATAAACTGACTCATTACAGAAAAAAATTGTACAGCATTAATATGTTGAAGTATTCTAAACTGAAAAATCATTTATGACTCATATCAGAGTTAATATATACATAAAAAAATGTTTGTGATTTCTTAACTTAAAATAGCTTGAGGTTTGAGGTCATAGTTTTCCGCCATTACTACAAGAACAATAACTACAATACAAAACGACTATAGACCCTTCTATATAATAAAGTAATAAAACGATTATAGTTCCAACTATTAAATCGATTAGACTTTCTCCTTTAGAATCAAATATATATCAATAGAGCATCGAATATAGTTTCAACTATAAATAAGACTAAAAGCCGGACTATAGCCTATAATACAGACTAAAGTATAGGTTAAGAATAGACTATTACTAGACTATGACTAGACTATGACTAGATGACTAGACTGACTAGACTATGACTAGACTATGACTAGACTATGACTAGACTATGACTAGACTATGACTAGACTATGACTAGACTATGACTAGACTATGACTAGACTATGACTAGACTATGACTAGACTATGACTAGACTATGACTAGACTATGACTAGACTATGACTAGACTATGACTAGACTATGACTAGACTATGACTAGACTATGACTAGACTATGACTAGACTATGACTAGACTATGACTAGACTATGACTAGACTATGACTAGACTATGACTAGACTATGACTAGACTATGACTAGACTATGACTAGACTATGACTAGACTATGACTAGACTATGACTAGACTATGACTAGACTATGACTAGACTATGACTAGACTATGACTAGACTATGACTAGACTATGACTAGACTATGACTAGACTATGACTAGACTATGACTAGACTATGACTAGACTATGACTAGACTATGACTAGACTATGACTAGACTATGACTAGACTATGACTAGACTATGACTAGACTATGACTAGACTATGACTAGACTATGACTAGACTATGACTAGACTATGACTAGACTATGACTAGACTATGACTAGACTATGACTAGACTATGACTAGACTATGACTAGACTATGACTAGACTATGACTAGACTATGACTAGACTATGACTAGACTATGACTAGACTATGACTAGACTATGACTAGACTATGACTAGACTATGACTAGACTATGACTAGACTATGACTAGACTATGACTAGACTATGACTAGACTATGACTAGACTATGACTAGACTATGACTAGACTATGACTAGACTATGACTAGACTATGACTAGACTATGACTAGACTATGACTAGACTATGACTAGACTATGACTAGACTATGACTAGACTATGACTAGACTATGACTTGACTATGACTAGACTATGACTAGACTATGACTAGACTATGACTAGACTATGACTAGACTATGACTAGACTATGACTAGACTATGACTAGACTATGACTAGACTATGACTAGACTATGACTAGACTATGACTCGACCATAGACTAGACTATGACTAGACTATGACTCGACCATAGACTAGACTATGACTCGACCAGACTAGACTATGACTAGACTATGACTCGACCATAGACTCGACTATGACTAGACTATGACTCGACCGTAGACTAGACTATAAACTGGCATATAGACTACACTATAGACTAGAATATAGACTAGAATATAGACTATACTATTGATTAGACTATAGACTAGACTATGGACTAGACTATAGACTAGACTAAACTATAGAATAGACTATAGACTAGACTATAGACCAGAATAGACTATAGACCAGACTAGACTATAGACTAGACTATAGACCAGAATAGACTATAGACCAGACTAGACTATAGACTAGACTATAGACTAGACTATAGACTAGACTATAGACTAGACTATAGACTAGACTATAGACTAGACTATAGACTAGACTATAGACTAGACTATAGACTAGACTATAGACTAGACTATAGACTAGACTATAGACTAGACTATAGACTAGACTATAGACTAGACTATAGACTAGACTATAGACTAGACTATAGACTAGACTATAGACTAGACTATAGACTAGACTATAGACTAGACTATAGACTAGACTATAGACTAGACTATAGACTAGACTATAGACTAGACTATAGACTAGACTATAGACTAGACTATAGACTAGACTATAGACTAGACTATAGACTAGACTATAGACTAGACTATAGACTAGACTATAGACTAGACTATAGACTAGACTATAGACTAGACTATAGACTAGACTATAGACTAGACTATAGACTAGACTATAGACAAGACTATAGACTAGACTATAGACTAGACTATAGACTAGACTATAGACTAGACTATAGACTAGAATATAGATTAGACTATAGACTAGACTAGACTATGGACTAGACTATAGACTAGACTATAGACTAGACTGTGGACTAGACTATAGACTAGACCATAGACTAGACTATAGACTAGACTATAGACTAGACTATAGACTAGACTATGGACTAGACTATAGACTAGACTATAGACTAGACTATGGACTAGACTATAGACTAGACTATAGACTAGACTATAGACTAGACCATAGACTAGACTATAGACTAGACTATAGACTAGACTATAGACTAGACTATAGACTAGACTAGACTAGACTATAGACTAGACTATAGACTAGACTATAGACTAGACTATAGACTAGACTATAGACTAGACTATAGACTAAACTATAGACTAAACTATAGAGTAAACTATAGACTAAACTATAGGATAAACTATAGACTAGAATATTGACTAGAATATAGACTAAACAATAGACTAGAACATTATTCAGAATAATAGCTATGCATATACAGCTACATGTTGTATTTTAGTAAAAGATTCAGCACTATTCTATAAATACAAAAGTTAAAGCAATTAGTGTATTATTAACCACATATATTTTTATATGCCGGAGTAGTAAACAATCGATATAATCAAAATAGTTTTTCCGTTTCTCTTAATGCTATAAAAGCCGTAATTAAAATGAAGTAAATTTATTGCTGCAATAAACAACTAAGTGTGAATTAAATTGAATGAAAAAATCATGAAAGATAGTTGGGCGAATTTTACCGTTATACGTATAAACGTTTAGCAAAAAAACAATTATTTGTCTTCTTTTCAACCAGTTTATAATCAGTGTCGAGACAAGTAAGAATAAAAAGTGGTTTTTGAAGTTTATTAATTAAAAATTTAATTTTTAATAAAGTTTCTTTATAAATACTAAGTGTATTAACTAAAAAGTGTTTTTATAGAAATCAAAAATTAAATTTATAATATAAAATAATCAGAAAGGTATAAGAACATTATAAATGTCATAATTTCATTCATTATACTTTATATTACATTAATTCTTTCAGATAGTAAACAAAATATGTTGACGGAGATTTTAGGAGAAGTGCGCACGCTAAAACAGCAAATCGGCAGACTAACAGAGGAAGTGATAACCGTAAGAAATGAAGTGCGTCAGTTAAAATTAATTTATTCTGAGGAAATTAAAACCAATTTAGTGCCACCTTTACCCATAAAAACTGTAAAACAGTTGGAAGAATTACATAAACAAATAGAAGAGAACGTGGATATTGTAGCTCAATTGGTATGTATATAATTATCCGTCTATATACATATTTTTTAATATAAACATACATATACATACATATATTCATATCAAAATTTTTACAGAAATACGTTATTGGTAAAGTGGGTGGCGACAGCTCCAACTCGTTTGTCAGGAATGCAATTAAAAAATGCTGAGCGATGATGTGGCTGCAAAATTGAGTTGGCGTGGAACGAACAGTAAGCCCAGTATTCAGGAATTCAATATAACGAAAATTATAACAAGTAAGTATTTTTTATAACATGATTTTACTGAATTCTAATTATTTTCTTTTTAAAGGTGTCTGCCATTCAAAATTTCCGAAAGCTGATGATGCAGGTATAAATAAGGTATTACAACAACATTTTGTTCATGCTGGTGACCGTCTCAGAAAGAGTGACCGAACCAAAAAGATTGATGAAGCCAAGAAAATTGACGATTTGGCTGAAAAATAACTTTATTTTTTAATAATTTTTCTATTGCATAATTATTTCCATTATTCATATGTATGTATTTATTTTCATAATTGAATTCAAATTTATAAAAATAACTTTATTTTTTAATAATTTTTCTATTGCATAATTATTTCTATTATTCATATGTATGTATTTATTTTCATAATTGAATTCAAATTTATATTTAATTTTTTTTTTATTTAAAGTTGACAAAAAATGCCAATGCAATAAACAGTATAAAACGAATATCAATACTTTTTATTTTTAGCATATTTTTAGGCATTTTAGGATCAATTAAAATCTTCTTTACGATCGTTCCAAGACTCTTCTATAATTCTTTTTATCGCATCGTAGAAGATTCATTAAGACGATTTTGTAAAGATTCTGTTTATCGCATCGTAGAAGATTCATTAAGACGATTGTGTCAAGACTCTTTTTAACACATCGTAGACGATTCATAGAGAAGAGTCGCGGCTGTGACACAGTTACTCCCGTTGCGTTGAACTTTCGTAATTGGAATACGATATCGTGGAAGATTATTTAATCGCCACCTCCAATCGCGGAAGATCCTTTTTTGAAAGAAATGCCTAGCTGGGCGGAAGTATATATGGCTTCATCTGTATTAAGAAAAATAGCTGATGAGGGAAGGAAATCACGAAAGTTCGAGAGAGTATCCACAGCCCATTTATGGAATACTCTCTTGTCTATAGTCTAGTCTATAGTCTAGTCTATAGTCTAGTCTATAGTCTAGTCTATAGTCTATCTATAGTCTAGTCTATAGTCTGGTCTATAGTCTAGTCTATAGTCTAGTCTATAGTCTAGTCTATAGTCTAGTCTATAGTCTAGTCTACTAGTCTAGTCTATAGTCTAGTCTATAGTCTAGTCTATAGTCTAGTCTAGTCTATAGTCTAGTCTATAGTCTAGTCTAGTCTAGTCTAGTCTATAGTCCTAGTCTATA